TTCCGACTCTTCCATGGCTCTCTTCTCCATCAGACCGAGCGGGCGCGCCTCTTCCGTCGCGGGCGCCTTTTCAGGGAACAGCATACCCAGCGGGACATCATCGTCGTCGCCCTCGTCCGGCTTGTTAGCATCTGCACTTTCCCAGGCCAAAGTTACTGGCCTCTGTCGCCGATGCTCGCTCTGCTTCTGAGCGACAGCATCCATTTGAAGGAGCGTTGATTGGAGTCCGAAGGGGCCCGCCACGGCTTTCTGCCGTTGTTTGAGTTCATTCTTCCGCATTTCCAATTCTGCCATTAGTGTATTTGGCGGCCCGGTGAACTCTACTTCCGGTTCAAGTGGTTGGCCGAGGTCTTCGTCATCGTGGTGAACCACGTCCGCACCGCTAGTTGCGCCATACTCATCCTCACGTAATAAGGTACCTTCATGCATGTTTGCCGCCTCGGCTTCTGTTTGTTTATAGAAGCGATCGGAGGTCACTGGTCTTGCTTCCAGCTCCGGATCGGACAAGCGGCGGTCGAAGCCGAGAGTGCTCCGAGAGGCTCGCTTCTTCGAATGATCAAGCAAACCCCCGGCGGAAGGTTTACGTGTGAGCTTGGCATGACCCGCCGCGCCAGCAATGGGATGGTCGGTAAATGCACTCACAGGGGCATGTGTTGAAGCATCAAGTATACTATCCAAGGTGGCTACCGCGGAAGCTTGAGTCAGTTCTAAATTAAGTGGCACCGATGGCTGTTCGAAGAAAACACTGGCACGAAGCTGTGGCGGCAACGCTGCTGCCTCCTTGTCTCGCTTGAGAGCGGCGTTGCCGTCCGAGTCCTGTTGTGACAGCCACGGGGCTGATTTGCGGTTATCGACAGGAATTGAGCCAAGAAGCTGTGTGCGGCGCTTCTCTCTCTCTGCGCCTGGTTTTCGCGACAGACGAGGGGGCAAGTTCAGCATCATTGGCACCGGTGCGGGGTAATAGACCATATCCTCGCCGGCCTGTGGTTGCTTGTAAGTTTCGGATCGGCTCGCGAGCGGCGGGCGGGTAAGCGATACTCGGCGCACCAGGTCTTTCTCCGAGGGAACATAGTGCACGCCGTCGAAGTCAGTGAACAGGACTCGAGCTTGCTGGTAGGTGTCAGTCGAAGCCGCCGTGCAAGGACGGTCGAGTTCTTCGCCCAGTAGGTGATTGTAATGCTCATGGTCGACCAGACGAAGCTCTCCTGGGGCGGGCGCAGAAGGGGGAGGAGGTAGGTACGGCATAAGGGGCGTGTGGTTGGTGGATGCCGCGTACGACGGGTTCGGAACATGCTCCGAGACTTGAGCGAGGCGCGAGGCAGACTGGATGGAGCCATGACGGGACGACAGGCTGGCCTTAAACCCATCTTGGTTGTTGGTATAGACCGAGGAGCCACTGGACCTCCGTTTCTGCTCCAAATCCATCTTGCGGATCTCGTCTCCAATATTGGTTGAGCTCATACTCATCCGTTCAGCACTCCTCTCCAGGCGTTCCACATTATTGACATAGGCTCCTTGCAGGGACTGTAGACCGGGGGTCGGATGGTTGAGAGGGATGGGCTCTCCGGAGATGGGACTTCGGAGCGGCGCTTCGGAAGGGGAAGAAGCGATGGTGGTTGCGGTAGTGTCAAGCGGAGGCACGCGACGGGAACTCTTGGGACTTTGGGCTGCGGAGGAGGAGTGATCGGCGGGTAGTTCGTAGTCATCGTCTTCGACCATGTCGTAGCTGGTTGAGGTGATCGACCGGATCATCGAGCCTAAACCGCCGATGCTGGAACTTTCGGCTGATCTGGCAGGTTGCAGATAGTTGCCAGCGCCGATATGGTCCGCATCCAAGGGAAGTGGTTGGAAGGATGCATCATGGTGCTGGGACTGGAGGGAAGGACTGCGGGAATGCTGATCGTCAGAATCGCTCGCATTGGAAGCGACCTCGTGGTCGGCCTGTAAGACGGCGTTGTAAACCATGGTCGAGCTGTGCTGAGGAGATGAACGCGAGTGTCCAAGCCATAAAGGGGATGAAATAATTCACTCAACAGGCCCCAGTTGACCTGGTCGAAGCAAGCGAAACAACGCGAGAGCAGATTAGAGTGAGAGGAAAGTCAGATGTTCTGGCACAGATAAGAGATGAAGGCGGGCCCTGCACTACCGCGATAGTTACCCCCCTGCAAGAACAAGAACGTAACTAAGAAGGGTAGAGAGGTAAGCGAAGGAGACGAAGGATTGGAATGGGAAGAGAAGGGAAAAGAAGGAGAGGAAGGAGAAGAAGGAGGAGGAGAAGAAGGGAAAGGATAGAAAATCCCCTTGGATAGAAGATATTATCAGCTCCGACCTGGCATTACGCAGTTGGAAAAATAATAATTGGAGATGGGGGAGAAGAGGGAGGAGGTGGAGGAGGAGGAGGAGGGGGATGGTTTTGGGTGTGGAAGTAATGTATTGTAGAGGAAGGTCTTGTACTCCGTATTATTGTCATCTTTTTTTTTTCTAACTATGGCCTGGGTTGCTAAATTTGGGTGGCCGAACCAGGCTGGACCGAAAGCAGTGGAGTTAAGTCACTGTGAGTGTGGGAGAGACGGGACTAAGACTCCTAGAGAGTCTTAGGGGGATCCGCCACGCTGTTTGCGCCAGACAAGGGTACTGGTACAGTACCGTACAACAGGTACATAACATGTATGCAACTGTAGTAGACAAACTACAACAAACTGTTCTGGGTAAGAGGTCAGGAGACAGTTCTTGCAGTGCTAGGTAGTCACTAGTCACACACGTACATGAGTAAGTTACTACTGTAGGGCTCTTACAAAACACAGTACACTCTCCCTAGACAGAGAAAGTACTGTATGATGCTGCTAGATGTCAATGCCAAATTACCAGTATGGGCTAGCTCAAATTGTCTGTTTCAGGGTCTTCTGCTGGGCGAGTCGAAGGACAGCCCCTGGGGAAAATGTCTTACGTACCCGGACTCCCCCAATCCACCACTGCCCCTTTCTGACACGAACACCACTGTTCCCACATCCATATCGACAGTACCGAGTACGGAGCAATACATTCGATGCACCAATCTATTAGTACAGTACATACTACCTCCTGGAATCTTCCAGCTGGTCGATCTGCAACACGAAGGTTTGCTTATCTGACTCCATCACTGGCATACCTGTATGCCCGCGGTAATCGTTGGCTGTTGTATCTACGCTAGCCAGTAGTTAGTGGGGAGTCTAAAAGCAAAGGGCCAGGCGATCGACTGGATGGATGAATGTACCGTACAGCAGTATCCCTCACATACGTATCCAATGCCCTTCTCCCTTTATCCAACTGTGCATCAGCGTCGGATGATAGAGGCGGAGTATACCGCCCTTTCAAAGCATTTGCTGTCACCCTTGGAATCACCCTTCGCCCGCCAGCAGCTTCGCCCAGCGACATAACTTACTTATCACGGTCAAGTCGAAGGTTAGGGTTTCTACCTCCCTCGCGATATGACAGATACTCAGCCGCAGGTCAGGAATCCTTGCTCAAAGAAATTAAAGCCCCACCCGCAGGTTCGCTGCAGTAGTTCTTAACCCATGCCCAGAGATCTTGTGGCTGTCCTGGACGTAGAAGGGAAGTATTTTAGTCTCCTCCATATTTAGTCCCAATTCACCTATACCACGGCGCCTTCCGCCTCTCAAGATTTCCCTCACTCCTCGCTGTCGACCTTGAATTACGCGAGCATGCATCCATCTGGCCCAAACGACTAACTACGAACCCACTCAACAAACAATAAAAAAACAACCAGCAGCCGAGCAATGACCTCATTCTCCCAAAAATCGCTCAGAGAAAGCCACGGCAGGAAAGTGTGACAAATTCACTAACATCCCCGGCAAGTGGGGAATGATGACGCTATGCGCTCAATCTCCCACCAGGAACGCATGGAAGGCTGAAGCTATCCAAGGCGATTTCTGCTGTCTAGCGCCGTCCTCCGCCAGACTAAGAGGATAGGGCCCAGACATCAACGAAAGTCTACAGCCAACAAGGTGTGTCCGGTGCTCGGATACGCTCCACCTTCATCCCAGCAGCGAGCCCCACTTCCATGATTTGCGAAAAAGAGGCGCCGTAACGGAACCACTGCACCTCCCCACAGGTGCCCCCAAGGGCCCCAATCATCAGGACTGAAGCTTTAAACCCTGGGGTTGTTGGGTGCCTTGAAGGATCCTTGTCTAGTGTGAACGGACTCGGGGTTTCGGGAAAAACGGATCAGAATCAAGCAGTCTACACGACCGTCAGCTGAAAGCAACAGGTTGTCGCTCAGCGCTCCCATTCATCCGATACGCCGTGCATGGACGAGTGGTTTTGTCCGTAAGGCGATCAGTGGCCAACAAGCTGACGGATCAACAAATGATAATCGGCCAACCGCAGAAGCCGCCAATCGGTAGAGATGACGTTGTCGGTGACGGATGGCAGTCGCTGGGCAGTTCAGCCTTACTCGGAAACTTCCGTCGGATCGTCTCTACGAGACATGGATGCTTTCAGGTTTGAATACTTAGGCCTCTCGCATCTACCTCGCCCGATGAAGCTTGACGGATCGTCGAGGGCTATAGAACTAGGTTCCATGTAGCGACCGACAGAGGAGCTAAGAGTATGATATGCATTCGGCTCTCCCTCCACTATTCTTGATCCCATAGTTACGGAAGTACTTCACACCGAAACAGGATACAACCACATGACTTGAACAATGTGCCTTCACTGAGGGATTTAACGTCATCGCGTCAGTAACCTTCTCAAAAGTCTGATGCCGGCGATTCTCTCGAGATCTTTTCCGCATGTGTCTACCTGTTTTCAAGCTAGTAAAGACACGTATAAGACGAGATTGGCTCCAGATTCTAACAACCTCCGCAACTCAACGCGAATGCATGCAAAAAACATACACTACTGACGACAAAACAGCCAGGCTTCCGATGCACAATCCTCCATCAGCAAATAATGAGGATCTCGTCAAATGATTTTACAATCTATTCGACCCCATACACATATGGAATCCGATCCAAACACAGACCCTAATCAATAAACTTGAACTTGCATGCCAGCATCAATTCATCTCTCGTACATTACACAGCCTAACGCTCACAGATCACGCTTCCTCCTCCTTCACCCCCTCCCTCTCCTTCTTCCTCATCTCCTTCAACTCCGCCCTCTCCCTAACCGTGCTCGCGACCCCCAACCCATTCTCCCCACCCAACGCCTCAAACCCCTGAATGACCCCCTCGCGGTCCCCGGCCCCCATCTCCTGACTCATCTTCACCTTCCCCTGCAACCGCTCAATGCGGATCTCGATCCCGATGATGTTCTTCTTCAGCAACTCCACATAATTGACCGGCGCATCCGCCACGGCCCACGGCTTCTCGTACCCCATGATGCGCGTCTCCGCCTCGCGCGACAGATCCTCCACCTGCCGCTGCAGGTACGCGCCCGTCTCGTCGGACTTGCTGTCGCAGAACACCCGCACCTTGCCGTACACCTGCGCGGCCGAGTAGTTCCAGGTGGGGACCACCTTGCCGGTGGCGGGCTTGGTCTCGGTGTAGAATTTGGGCGTCACGTAGTGATGATAGGGTCCGTTAAAGAGGACGAGGACCTCGTCGGGGAGCTCGAGGGCCCCGCTGCTGTTCTGGGTAGTGTGGTGGGCGGCGAGCGCCTCCATCAGGGCCTTGGCTTGCGGGTTCTGCTTGGCCATGTGGCCGCGCAGGGTGCCGAGGAGGGTGGGTTCGGCACCGGCATCTGTGGCAGTGGGGGACTCGGGCACGTCGAGGACGAACGGGATGTGGCTGGTCTGGAGGAGCGGGTGGGAGGCGGATTGGATGGCGGTCGTGAAGATGCCCAGCGGGTTGTCGCGGATGAGTTGGTGCAGGTAGGCGATGCTGGATTCGGCGTGGATGGCGCGGAGATACATTTTGTTTTGTTTGGGGTGGTTTTGGGTGGTGAAAGTGCAACGAGGGCGGGGGTGGGTGCGGGGTTTGGTTTAGAGAACCCGTTGTCGCAGGGAGAGGGCACTGGCTTTATTATAATGAGTTTGCGTCAATGGGTTCCGACAGAACCATGCCCATGTGCTTCCTGTGAATCAAATTGTGAGTAGGCCCACCGAGCTGTCCTTGTTGACAATGAATTCCCCCCCCCCCCCCCCCGCAGACCGTTATCGCCTATCGCTGATGTTCTGAAGCTGGTGAGTCAGGCTTCCAACTGGTCTGATTGGCACACTCCGCCGAGGCCCGCGGAAAAACGATGTAATTGCCTGCAACTGCGGAGTAGTCCCGCGCAAGTATGTCTTCTTTGGGTGCTTGGCTCAATATGATTGGGGCGTCGACAGAGAATTGTTCTAGAAACGTGACCGAATGACTCTTCTTGATAATGTTTCTGGTTAAGATACAGTTCCTGGATTGTTGATCTAAGGGAGAATGCAATTTATCAGGGCGCTAATACTCTCTCGGATTAGTGACCGAGTCAATTCGCCGTGCTGAAAACAAGACAGCCAATCGGAGAGAGCTCTATTTCGATGACACTTGCCGTTCTGGGAATGTGTCGGGAGTGGGCCAGGGATCAATGGATCTATGATGTTGTGGAATGGATACTATGTACATGCAGCAATCGACTGTCTGATTGAGTTTAGTGTGCAGGGAAACTGAGTATATATCTGCCACAAATTTGCACCTCCTCCTGATTTCTTGAGTTGTATCGCTCTTTTCCCCGACTTTCCCATACTTGATCTGTTTGTGATAGGAGATGTCAGAGGACATCATCTCCTACATCAACCTTGATCATCGACTCCGTGAAAAGGATTTTCTTCGCAGCAATCAAATAATGTACATTTCGATGTCGAGGAGTACTGCTCTCTGCCGGGGGCGCCGTGACTCGCAAGAGAGTTGCCACCATGCGATGTTTATCCTGCAACTGGCGGGCCTAGGTCGCAAGCGGGTAGAAAGATATACCATTTCGGTTATAGTATCTTGATATTGGAGAAGATCTCGCAGAAACACGACGAAGAGCGTCTTTCGACTTGGAATCGCTCACTTTAGATCTCCGGCCAGTCCTTTGACACTACTCCCTTCCAAGCACGAGGATTGCCGCAACAATCGCAGTCAGCAAACCTACAGCAACCGCCCCGCAGCCGGCACGCCTGTGCCTCCTTGCCATGGGGTTCTAGCTTCTTAGACATCCTCAAATCTGCCCGGATCCAAGCACCCTTTACCGGGTACTCGTCGCTCAATGCCTTGATCTTCTGCCAGTTCTTCCGTAGTTGAACCGAGACTGTGTGGGACTCTCGCGTGAGCTGGTTCCGTTGCATCGACTGGTCGTGTGTCGAGTGGGGGCCAGAGTCCTTGGGGGTTTGTCGAGCTTCATCAGTTTGCTCGGCTAACCGGGCATGGCGCTGGACCAGAGCGCTAGCCTCGGCCATGAGCGCCTTTTTCTTCTGCAGGTAGTCGAGTCGCAGGGCCCGCTCCGAGTCGAGGATTTGGACCTTAGCGACTAGGCTGACTAGGGCGAGGAGGCGAGGGCGATTGGCTCGGTCACAGTAATTCTCGAGACTCTCCCACAGGTCGGTCCCAGCATACACAAAGAGCTTGGTCGTTATCGTGGTGAGGGCGCACAGAAACCCGACGAGCATTCCCAAAATCGCAAAGATGAGAGCCGTCAGTAGAAGCACCAGTAGCAGCCATACAGCTGCATCCAGCATTTTTGCGGTTACTTGCTCTTTTGGGAGACCCATGGGGCAAGGTTGATTGTATATTTTGCGGAAATGGAAGGCAAAGAAAAGAAAAGTAGAAAACAAGAGGCCAGAGAATGATCAGAACTCGAAAGAAAAAAAAAAAAAAGAAAGAAAGAAACCTAGACAGTTAAGAAAATTACAGACATCGATGTCAAAATCCGGGGTGCCGTGGACACGCAAGCCTTTACGTAGAAGTGCATTACAGATTTCACCCTAGTGCCTATTTGCAGTTTCGCTGCGATAGGCTTCAATCATCACGAACTTCGCATTATCTTCTGTCCGCCTACATGCCGTGGCTGAATCACAGCAAGGGACGTTTTCCCGATATCTCATGCGACGAGAACCTGGGACAATCTCAGATTCATAATCTCAATCGAATTTGATTTTATGTGCAAGCACGGTGCCTGTTTCTTCTGCATCCTATATCTCAGTTTCTGAGAGTATCATGGAGACCTAAGGTGTTCCCACTCGTAGCACTAACATAGCCTATAGTTTAGCCCATAGGAAGAGAAACCACAGTAGCTAGCCACTTTTCCTCCGCTTCTTGTCTCTATGTAGCCTGTAATTCGTAGTTGTCAGCGAGCAACGGACTACTAGGTATGCACTAGCTCGAGCAGTGATAAGGCGACCTATAGTCCGAATCTAAGCTCTTTGCTAAGCGACCCCGCAAGCAAAGCCCGATGCTGAGATAAATCTAGGTGGTCCTGCCGGGTCAGCCATAAGGCCCCGCCTCCCCACCCCTGAGGCTTTAAGCTAGTCTCAAGAGATATCTAATTCATCGAGAGAATGCGGACCTATCTGGTAAAGTTGTATACTTCATCATGGATAGTATCTCTTGAGAAGAAAGTGGGATGATCCTGACCAGTCTTGGTGTTTGGTTGGCTAATCGAGGTCAGTGTACCACGTGGCAACTAACTGATACATATGACTACTAGGTACTTAAGAACAATAGTAGTTTCATGATGCGACTAAAAGCATAGGGTACCCGAGCTACGCGTGTATAAACTATCAGTGAAGGGGATATTTATTCACGACGATGAAGAGAGCGTTGATGAAATTCACATTTATTGCGTCCCAGGTTATGTACATATCTTTTCATCGAGTATACAAAGTCAACTGGTCTACCAATCTTGGTAATATACATTATACAACACCCGACCCTAGCCATCCAACCAACCGCTGATCTAGCTCATCACAGGCCGAAGTAAAGAATCGACCCAACCCCCAACAGCAACATCCTAAGTAGTCCCAACCCCAGCCCAACTACCGCGAACCAACCACTTCAACCCCACTCTAAACAGATTTATAGTTTCCCGTATAGCGCTTAACAACCTTGAACGTGCTATCGGAGGTACAGGTATTCCCAGGGATGGTGACCTCGCCACTGCAGGTGCCGCTGATGCCGGCGCTGATGCCGATAAAATCGAGAGACTCCTTGGCCTTGCCGGGGTAGGCGGTGCCGTCGGGGTCGTAGGCGCTGCAGAGCTTGGGGCTGCCATCGAAGGCAGACTCGCACCCGAAGGTCCAGGTGCCGGTGAAGCAGTCGGAGGTGTACTGGACCTTCTCGCTGTCGTCCACGCAGGGCGAGTAGCCGTCGGGGTCGGCGTTGTGGTAGATGGTGTTGCCATCGTCGTCGGTCAGGGTGAAGCCCGCCGAGTAGCCGCTGCCGGCGCCCTGGATGTCGCTGTAGGAGTCGGTCGCGTAGAGGAAGTGGATGATGTCGGTGGTCGCGACGACGGTGGAGGCCGTGGCGCACAGGGTGAGGAGGAGGGATTTGGCGAGCATCTTGCAGGCTTTTTTTGGGTTTTGTTCTTGGAAGATTGGGAGATGGACGTGGTTTGAGATGAAGAGAGGAAGAGACTTGAGATGATTGTCTGTGATGTTCGAGAGAATTGTCTGCGAGCATTGGGGTATTTATATCCGGGTTGCGCCTATACATGGAGCGCAGCCCGGGAGCCTCATCCATCTTTCCAAGGCTTGGTGGAGAAAGTCTTCCCCGTTTCGTCACAGAACTCATACTCTAGACTTTGAATAAGGCTATGCGGGACTGTTTTGGGGGCTGGAGAACGGATCTATTGCGGAGGATTGCGGGATTATCTTACCCCCTTCTGCATCACCCAATGCATAGAACCCTGAGGGTGATCAGTCTCGAAGTCTTCCTTTTGCGGGCAGCCAGCCTCATCGCCCCCAAATTGCGGAGATGCAGCCTCGTCGGTGTGGGGTGCTCGTCCCACCAAGCTTTCGCGAAGTGGCCATTGAAGGCTTGGTAGGTGGGGCTTGGAGGCTTATCCGGAACTGGGGCACATCCTTCAGGTCGTCCATCACCGGATCCTGCTCGCTACACCTGCTTCCTAAGGAGAACATTAGCCATCAGCTATTGTTAAATATATACTACCTGCTGTCTATGACCTGATTTGAGGTTACGGGTTTGGCAAGGAAGAGACTAAGCAGAGGATTCAAAGGCTGGCTTGTATTAGAGTGGCCTACCTGCTAAAAACACAACGGCTATGATGTAAGTACTTTTCGGAGTCCTCACTTTACGGCGGAGAAAGATTATCTGTTGCTTGGCTGAGAGCTGATCTTCATTGATTCATGGTCTACGCTGTAGCAATAAGGCTGGGCAAAGCGAGCAGTATGATACAGACGGCACAGGTTAAACCTGCACTGGAACTAACTTGTTCCTTATTAACCTAATACTACATAAGGAAGCGCATGATCACTCGTTTCCTGGCATGAGAAGCAGCCCGTCCATTAGAGCCCCAGTTCGTCGACGCTGCCAAGTCGATGGGTTGTCTGACTAGAGTCTCAGGGGTGCCGATCTCGGGGATATTGGTTGGTGTATAGCCTCAGGCAGAATGACTGTGGGGCCTGAGGCGGAGCCAACTTACCAGGAATCTGAATCATTCAACATTTTTCAATATAACAACGCTGATATGCGTCTTGAGAATCGGGGGGGGGAATAGCTAAAGAGACAAACATCCTTTTCTATGCTAGCTCCTTCATACCAATATCGATACTCTTGACACACAGTAGTGTATATTGTCAAAGTCGTGATCAAATGCTCAAAATCCCTCGGCTGGTTATCAGACCAACATCAACCATCGATCACCTCCAGGAAACCGGCAGAATTCGAGATCCACTCCTCCTCTACGGTGTCATGTTGACTGTGGCGAAAAACGTCTTCGGTAGTAGCAGAGTGCCATTCTGCTTTGCCGACCGCATTCCACAACGGGGTATTCCGTGGCCACGGAAATTGTAGATCGCATACTTGAAGGGTCCTGCTTGCCGCCCTGGCCTCGTCCGCAGTATCCTGGCCAGTACTCTTTTGTTTCGTTGCACTGGTAAAAGCCCTGCAAGCCCTAAACAGCGCCAGGTTGAATCGTTTGACCTCCTCGACGCTCACCCACACATAAGTCGCTGGATCATCCTGGCAATACCGATTGAGCATGTTGGGATATGACAGCAGCCCCAGCTTCTTGCAACTGGCGACCAGCCTTTCCAGCAGATCGCGGGTAGGGAGGGCAAGGGAAGGCTTGAGGTCCGGGCCAAGCACTTCACCGCCGTGGGACAGCCCAGCGAAGATGATATGGAGCAAGATAGCCTGGTACGTCGGGATGGGCCACGAACAGGCGCTGCATGCGTTCTCTGAACTCGAGGCATCCCATACCGCCTACGGAGTTCCTCATTAGTCAGATACCTCTACACCCGAGCGAGGTTCTCAATCACATACAGTCTGTTCACGAATGGCAGAGTCAAGGACCTTATGCAGATCCATGGCTTTGGACTGGGTGTCTTTCTCCCGGCTCATCCACAGCCCCAGAACCACCATCGATTGCACCAGCAAGGGCGTCTCATACTCACTGAACGAGCCCCGGTGAATGAAGGGCCAGTGAGGATGAAACCGCTGGAAATACAGACCGAGATAGTGACTCTCCATTGCAGACCGGTTCGCCCTGAGTTGGGTCGACATCGACCGCGACGGCATGGGTTGCGGGTCCGACGCGCGCTTGTCATAGTCACCAGGCTGTACATTAACATCGGTTCGTCGGTGGTGGTCAAGAGAACAGGAGATCCCTCGACGCAAACAATTGCTACATGGTGGCTCGCCCTGGCACCGGATCTTCAGAGTCCGGCAGTGTGTGCAGGCGTGTTTGGTGGGAGGCGCTATCTCCTTGGTGACATGCACCTTTTGCATGTGCCGACGGAGTGTGTCGCTGTCATTTCTCAGTGTCGGGTCATTCCATTGGAGGGGGTATAGTATCTCTCACCGTCGGCTAAAGGTTTGAGCGCAGATCGAGCACTGTGGAAGCTGACGGCGGGTATGTTGCGTCTCATGCCGATGGCGATGCTCCCTCCGTTGATAGCTCAAGCTGCAGCCCGGGAATCGACAAGTGTATGTGTTCGAGGTATTCGAGAGCATCTTACTGATTTGTCAGATATTCTAAGACTGATCAAAATGTGATCAATGGTATTATTGGTGTGAGACTACAAGGCAATGTGAAGCGCAGGGTGACCAGACGTTTCAATAACGTTTCACTGGCTTTTCCGTGAGATGAATAAACTTATACGTAGCTTAGTAAGGTGTCTTGAATCACGTAGATGATGAGCCAACTCTGTCTCAAGGTCAAAGACACATATGTTCATGGCACTGGCACGCCACTTCCGAGTGCCCCACTTTGTCCGGAGTGCCCACCCCGCGCGGGCATCGCATCGGGATGCCCACCTTGCTCGGAGTGCCCGCCTTGATCATTCAGCCTGGTATACGGCGATCGGCTTTGTGCTTTGATTTTTAACTATGGGTATATGCAGTTCCTTCTACTGCAGCGATATAAGATGATTCTATGAACAATTTCTAATCCGTAGACCACAAAACAGCTATAAGTACTGCACTGAAGCTGGCCCTACTTGCAGCAATGTCCATCTTCCAATCCTATTCTATTCCCGCCAGGCGAGCTACTTCTGTCCCACCTCGTGATACTTGACCAATGGCTCCCTCAATCCTCATCGCCGGCGCGACAGGCAACACCGGCCGAAACGTCGTCAAAACCCTATCCCAACTACTAGCAACCACCGCAACCCTACCCAACCACCGCATCATCGCCCTCACCCGCTCCGCCCAGAGCCCGATCGCGCAGCAGCTCGCCCAGCTCCCCGGCGTAGAACTCCTCGAGCAGAACTGGATCGACCTGACCCCAGCCTGGCTCCAAGAACACGAAGTTGTGCGCGCGTTCATCGCCTCGCACAACCAACCGAACCACTTTGCCGAGGAATCGAGCTTCCACGTTGCGGCCCGGCGCGCCGGGGTGCAGTACGTGGTGCGCATCTCGACCACCGCGGCGAACGTGCGCCCGGACTGCGACGCCTACTACGCCCGGGCCCACTGGGCGATCGAGAGCCTCCTCGGCTCCCCGGAATTCCACGACCTGCAGTGGACCTCCCTCCAGCCCAATATTTTTGCCGGGTTTTGGCTGGCCTCCGCCGCGGAGTTCATCAAGCACTCCCGCACCACGAACGGAAAGCAGGGGATGCTGAGGCTGATGGCCTCCGAAACGGCGCCGGTGGGCATCGTCGACCCCGATGAGGTGGGCGCCTTTGCGGCGCACCTGTTGGTCGAGGCGGACCCCGCGGTGCACCATCGGGCTAGGTATGTGCTGAACGGGCCTGTGGATGTCACCGGGCGGGAGATCGTGCAGATGGTGGGTGAGCGGGTCGGGGCGCCGGTGGAGCGGGTTCGCTACGAGGACTTGTCGGATCTCGATGCGTATCTTGAGCAAGAGTACATGGGGACCCCGCAGTCATCGCGGAATGTGGTCTGGTCGGTCAAGCATGCGCTCAGAACGGCGTGGGAGGGGAAGTGTGCGGCTTCTACTACAAGTAGGGAGGTGCTGGAGATCGCGGCGCCGAAGCAGACACCGGCCCAGGTCCTGGATGATTTGCTGAAGGAGTAGAGGGAGAATCACTCATCTATCAGTAGTGGTGGGTGGACCTGGGATAGACACCTATGCTTCGCCTCTTGGGGAACAGCCTTCTCAGTGAATACGCTGCTAAACAGTTGCATTAATTCAGAAATTCCACCAATTGATTCAAGTATGACTTCAGTTTCACCAGGAAACGATCACGTAGTAGCATGACCGACGGAAAAAGACCGTTCTTTTCTGCGGGGATATGTGGCCGCCCCGGCCAAGACCAAAGCTGGAAACGATTTCAACGGACAAACGGACAAATCTGACCGCCTACCTAGTACTGTACTTCTTACACTCAGCAGCAACCTTAGCAAAAATCAATTGTGTGTTGAATCAGACAAGTAGCTAGAATTTCCCCGAGCGGTAGCCCAGGGATAGTGAATACTGGAAAGAAAATCGGACATCAGGTACCAGATTCCTACCGTTATAAAAGCAGTCGCACCTATTATCTATGAAAGGCAAGCGGATAGGCACCTCTACCCTACCTCTCCAGTAAGCGAAAGCTTCCCGCAACGGAACAACATCAACTTACCAATACAGTACCTACCGTACACTACATAACTTACCTCCCCCAAACCCCCTCAACCCCCCAAACCGTCCATCACACATCTACAACTCAAGACCATCCAAACCACCCACCCCTAAAAGACCAAAAAAAAAATGCCCTGGCGCCCCCTCCACCCCACCGACCTCCCCGCGCTAACCACCATCGCCAACGCAATCCACCAAACCCTCCCGGAACGCCCGGAGATCTTCGCCGAGCGCATCCGCCTCTTCCCGGAAGGCTGCTGGGGCCTCGACGCCGAGAATAACGGCCAACTGGTCGGCTACGCCATCTCGCATCCAATCCGCGCGGGCCAGCCGCCGGCGCTGGACACGCTGCTGGGGCGGATCGCGCCGGACGCAGACCAGTATTACATCCACGACGTGGCGATCCTCCCGGGTGTGCGCGGACGGGGTCTCGCGGCGGAGGGGGTGCGCCGGCTGCTGGAGGCCGGGGACCGGTATGGGACCACGGGGTTGGTGTCGGTTTATGGTACGGAGCGGTTTTGGGGACGGTTTGGGTTTGGGGTTGTGGAGGTGGGGGAGGAGTTGAGGGCGAAACTGGAGGGTTATGGTGGGGATGCGGTGTTTCTTGTTCGGAGACATGGGAGCTGGGAACCTTAAGTAGAGGGAGTTGAGGGATGGCTTGTTGCTCGTGGTGCGGAGTTTCTGTGTAGATGTACTCATGTCGGTTTTGTTTGGGCTCTAGTGGGTGTATTGCTGGACGTGTTGCAAGCTAGTAAGATTCACGATTCAATATACACGGGTCTGCAGCACGAGACACGCCCCGTTCACATCAATCAATACCTCGCCAGTGCCGAAGAATTACTCGAATCCCCGCTTCAGATTCTCAAATCGACTGAACGGATAATTCAGCGTATTCGGACTCCGATCCAGATCCCCCGTCCGCAGAAACTCGTTCACCGTTGTCCGGATCAAGCTCCGCTCATGCCCGACGGGATGATCCCCGCTCAACTCCCACCACATGGCGCCCCCCAGCCCCCTCCGCTTGATGTACTCGACCTTCATCGCCGCCACCTGCGGCGTGTCGTAACTGACCACCTTCCGCTCCCCGGGCGCATGACTCCAACTCGCCAACAGATTGCTGTCCACAAACTCCTGATGGCCCGCCGGCGGCAGGGCCTTGTAATCCCACACGCCATTCTCCCATGACCCCTCGCCGACCCCCTGGAACGGCCGCCCGGGGCCCTCCGTATTCTCAAACGCGCGCCCGTACAGTGGCATCCCGAAGATGATCTTGCTCGGATGCACCCCCTGCGAGACGTACGCGTGCACCGCGTGATCCGCACTGAACGGGGTCAGCCGCTCGTGGCCTTGTGGCGCGGGGAAGACGTTGGCTTGGTGGCCCGCGTGCGCGTCCCAGCTGCCCGCGAAGTCGTAACACATCAGGTTCCAGAAGTCGAGGTAGGGGTCCATGTCGCGGATGCGGAGCTTGGAGAAGTGGGTGGGGCCACAGGGGGCGGCGATGGTCAAAAGCAGACGCGAGGGGAGGCGGAGGTGGGCCGCATAGCGGTCAAGCTCGCGGCGGGTCTCCTGCAGCAACAGCACGAAGTTGGCGGCTTGCTGCGGGTCAGCCGGGTACTCCCAGTCGATGTCGATGCCGTCGAATCCCAGGTCCGCGAGGAGGTGCACGGCGCTCCGGGCGAAGGTTTGGCGGCCCTCGGGCGTGGAGGCCGGTTGGGCAAAGTTGGCGCTGTAAGTCCAGCCACCGATCGATAGGAGGGTCTTAAGGTGGCGGTGCTGCTTCTTGAGGAGGAAGAGCTGTTTGATGCAGCCGTAGGCGTTGGTGTTGGGTTCGTCCCAGCTGTCGCTGGGGTAGTGCTTTTCGAGGTCAGAGTAGGTGTCTGTCAGAAATCTGAGGAGTGAAATGTTAGATTTGAGAAGAGGGACGCAGAATGCGGGGGGATGTACACTTCGCCCGTGGGCCGGATGTTTGCGAATGAATCTGATGTTTTGTTAGTGGGTGTGTAGTCCTGGTACATTATGGGCTTCATACATAGGATGTGTGTGATATACTCGGCTGGAATGTCCTGAGGTTGGTAATTACGGCCATAGACGCCCTGCACACAGGTTAGCTAGAAAACCTCCCTTTGTAGGCTAAGACACACCCAGTTGGTAAAATATGCCACTGTTTTATAGGCGGGCCCTTGCGGAACGCCAGGAGCGGGTGGCGGAACCATCTGCGGGGGAATCGGAGGAGGAGCACGTGTTATTTTGTAGCCTGAAGTCGGAGCTGCAGGACTACCTAGATCACGAGGAGCCGGATCTGCAGCCTGAGCTGGCGGCTCAGCTCTAGGAGCTTGACCGGACGGGATCTGCAGTTCCTGGCCTGGATAGATGAGATCTGGGTTGGTGAGCTGCGGGTTGGCGGCTTTGAGGGCATCCAGAGTGACGCCATGATCTTGAGCGATTTTCCACAAGGTATCTCCGCTAGCAATGGTGTAGGTAGGCATTTTGCAGGAAGTTCAACAATATTTTGGGAAAGGTAGGAAGGATAGTTGGAGGAGGAAAGAAACAGAGAATGACGATGAGGCGGAAGACCGGACGGCGGTTCAGGCACCAACTGCAGTCAACCTTAATTCTTTATTTATCGAGGGGGTAGCTCAATGAGGACTAGCCTGAACTGAGCCATGTCCCACCTGCCTCTTACAGTATGGTCAGTGTAAATGCCTCAGGCGGAAAAGCAGGCTCGTTGCCTCAGGCCTCATGACAGGATCTAATCCTCAGCCACCGAGTCACACTGAGCGTGACTGCAGTGATCATCACTATCTCGGCTATACTAGCGTGGGGCAGCTGATGACTCGATCGCCAGCCAACAAGTCGTCTGAATATGTGTCGATCTGGGATTGATTGCAATGAGGGTCTTGACATGCAAACCTGACAAACTGACAACAAAGATGAGAGCCCTCATCACCCCCTGTACGGAGTACCTTGCATGGAGACATCAGAATGCTACGGTTTCGGGACCAAAGCAGCCCCTCCTGCTCCTGAATGCTGAGGATGGTGCACCGACCCCTGGCCCCCACCTTATATTACATCCGATGCGATAGTCTTTCGGGGGTGACAGATGCTACGTATGTCTTAGATTATGGCCGCCGAATCCAGCCTGGCCTGTGATGGTAGCCTTCAATGTGTACAGTGCATACAGCGGCCGGATGGGCTGTGCGTTGAGGGCGACCGGGGCGGGCTGAAAAAGACAGATGCCTTGGCAGTTGGCAAGTCTAGGAGATTCTCATGATGCATGAGTATTGCTTGCAGAGTTTCAGAAATTCTCGTATGGCAGCAGACAGCGAATTGGGGTAACAAGCATACAAGCAAGCATTCAAGCAAGCATTCAAGCAAGCATTCAAGCAAGCATTCAAGCAAGGAGTGGTTGAGCATTGCAAAAAAAGGCCGAGAGATCCGTTGACTCAATCAACTAGTCCTATTCGGACCATCACGTGTCGGCATTCTACCCGAGAGTTCATTTGACAGTTTCAGACTTTAAGATCATTGGAATTCCACACTCTCCGGGAGATAATCTCAATCTCGATGATTTCCTTTACCGGTTCATCTCGATCCACTTGTTCCCCCTAATGATGACGCCCCCATCACCTCATTTTGGCTGGCTTCAAATGGTGCCGCTGATCCAATTGCAGTGATTGGCTTCCCTGCAACTTAGGCAGCTGCGCAAATCAGGAATGGCAAAAGGCCCACGCGTACCATCACCGGAGGGTTCCACCACTAAGGCTGACTGCGCCATGAGGAGAAGAAATCATCCCAGCGACCAGTTTCTTCGGGGATTTTCCCTCCTTTGTCCACTTCCCCTGTATTTATCTTATCCGGTCCCTCCTTCATAATGCAAGCCCTTCTCTCTTCTCGCACGGCTTGATTTTTGCCACCCGACAATCCTCCCTCCCACCCTATATGCATTCTTTCAGTTGAGATGAACCTCCACCAGGTGCAATGGCACCTTGCCCGAGCGGCCATGCTGATGGCCGCTTTGTGCCTCGTCTTCTACCTCTACGCAAACCGCAATGGCGCCTCTACGGCCAATGACGGCCTGGTGGTTGACGATGTCAAAGCCGTTGTTCCTGCCCTCTCCGCGTGCGACGATTTCAATCCCGCCACCGTATCGCTTGACCTCCACGGTACCTTGAACGCCAAAGCCCCGATCAATGGCAGCGCAGTCGACGACTTTGTGTGCTCGATAGTGAAGCACGACATGAAACAGACCGCCCATCTCGACTGTCCTCTCAACATCAGCGCTCGTTATGACGGCCTCCGCGTGCAACCGAGCTGGGGTAGCGCCAACCCCAAGGTCAAATACTTCTTTGCCCTCGATCTATACCAAGCCGCCCACATCCTCATGCCCCTGATGGGCGCGATTTTAGATACTATGCGGTTTGTTGGGCCTCAGTACTGCGCTCTCTCCATCGTCGAAGGTCGATCCACCGATGGCACGTACGATATTCTTGTCGCTCTGGAACGGGAGCTCGCTGCGATGGGTGTGCGATACTTTTTGGGAACAAACGATTTGAACCCCAAGGCCGAGGGTGAAGATCGCATCAAGGACCTGGCCATTCTGCGCAATCAAGCGATTGCCCCGCTGGTCGCTGCCGGCACGGGCAAGTTCAGCCCGTACGCCGCCGATACGCTGATTGTCTTCGTCAACGATATCGTCCTGTGCACGGAGGATCTTCTTGAGCTGATCTATCAGCACCAGCAGCAGGATGCGCAGATGACCTGCGCATTCGACTGGAACGCGGGAGGTGGCTCCTTTTACGACTCCTGGGTGTCCCGTTCGATGTCCGGCAACCTCTTTTTCGAGATTACCCACGACGCGCGGTACTGGATCGGCAAGGATATGTTCTTTGATGACAACTCTAATGCGGAGCGCTATGGGCGAGGCCTCCCCGTGCAGGTCTACTCATGCTGGGGCGGCATGGTGACACTCAACGCGGCACCTTTCGTGCAGAAATCTGTCACGTTCCGCAGCTCCGAACCAGGCGAGTGCTACATGGGGGAGCCCATGACACTGGCCAAGGATCTCTGGCGGGCGGGGTTGGGCAAGATTCAGGCCGTTTCTAGCATTAATGTCGCCTACGAGTACAAGTCGGCCCGGGAGGCGAAGGAGACCTACAAATATGTGCACCAGATCATTCGACGGGAGAAGTACACAAGGGGACCGGAATTGATCGAGTGGCAGCCGGAGCCACCGCCGCGGGTCAAGTGCATGCCCTGGTTCAATAACCAATATTGGGTCGACCCGATGTAAATAGTATTTGTGATATCAAGCGTATATATGTTTTTTGCATCTCGAATTTCTGTCTTATCTTACGGCCATTACCAGGGCTTGCTGCTGGCGCTGTGATGATCTCTGTGCTAGTGGCTCCTCTGGATTATAGAATTTAGATAAGAATTCTGACTTGTTTGTTCATTTAGTTTAGTAGTACGCGGTTGTTTTCATTCCCTGTATGCGAAGACAAAAAGAGAAGGCGGGTATATGCATAACCTTGTAGATCGCATTGATAAGTGACCAAAGAACTAAGAATGTCTGCAGTTGCTATCTAACCACTGCGTCTCTTTGTCTGCTTCCACAACATGTTCGTATTATAGACGTTAGGAAGTATCCAGCCTTGCTGGGACACAATTCACAACCTCTACTAGTCTGCATTCCTTCATAGAAATTGTTTACCGAATGAAGGACCCTATTCAATGAGACCACGTGGTGGATAAGAAAGGAACTACTTCCTTAAGTAATCTCAAAAGATCAACCAGACAGTCATCTTAAGCACCCACCCATCATCTATACTCTGAGTACAATACCCCTTCACCGTAGTTCGTGCCCTTTGACCCACCTAATTCACCTTTTTGTTTATCCCAGGCCCATTCACAGCGTTCTCTCTGAGCTGGAATCTATCTTGGATTAGTATTTTATTCTTCTTTCAAGGCCAAGCCTCTTCTTTCCTTCTTCCTTCTTCCTCCTTCTCTCCTCTCCTTCTCCCCTTCCACTTTTTCTCCTTCAGATAAGCTACCATAGCCCAATATCAGGTCTTATACGGTCTTCCCAGTCAGTAGTTCTATCCACCACCCTTCCCAGTCCCTTACATACACTATCATCCAGACACACGTCCTATGCAAGACTCTACTAATGGGATCTGTCCCATCGTCTATCTCGGAATTGGAATGGTTGATTTAAAGATCTGCTCAACATATCCCACCATTGGGAGAGATATAATAAATGCTAACCACAAAAGATCTGCTTCTGGGCTATCTCAACAGGTATATATGGGCGTTCATGTACCTCATAGGCGACATTCAACTTGCGTCAACGCCTCTCGCTGGTTTAAGCTATACCAATGTCTTGGTTGATTACCAGGAGCGTCTTCTATGAGGCATCGACTAACAGGCTTCTAGAGCTACTCATGAAAGGATTGTAGGTAGCCACCCATTATCTTTTACAAACCTGCCTGATCGATAGCTAACTCCTTCACCAAGGTCAACAAGGTTTCGATGAACGGTGCGTGATTTATGTGGTTAGAGGCTTCTGCAACTACTGCCGGGATGCATTAAACAGCGAGCATCAAATCTACTACTGCTCACGATAGTTTTGGAGACAATCCGAGGCCATCTATGGCAGTCTGAAGCAAATGTGGAACAGTCCGTTCAAAGACATAACCGCAACAGCGTTAGCAGGGAAATGGCAACGCGGTAATGGCTATCTTAGCTTTGTCACAGATGACCGCAATACAGACTATGGGCGTCCATATCTAGGACACTTGGGGAACCCTAAGAATCGGGTCATGCAGCACCTCGTGGCTATCATTAAGTGCGAAGACAGTACGCTGCACTACTACATAGTAGCAAAAGGGGATGGACACTGCGCGATCAACATTATTGAACTATGGACTCTATGCTGGCCAGATCATATCAGTTGTCATATTTCTATGGTATTTGCAATTATCCTGGAGATGGATAGAGGCTGACTCTACACAACCAAAGAACGCTTGTGAAAGGAGAATGGCAGGGGCTTACGCAAAGGGCTACAGCCGACTCAAACGGTCGAAATGTTATCGGTGGACTGGAAAAGGCTGTGGTTCCAGCAGCAAGAACTGTTCTCGAGGCGCCATGTCTGGCTCGTAAGGGAATCCTCGCCTTATCGCCTATGACTGATAGGCATCTGGAAAAGGGTACATACATTGACCTCGTGACCAACGCTTCGGATTGCAATAAGCATGCTCTCTATAATGAGTCAGGAACAGGAACTGCGCACGAGGGCAGATGTTGAGTATGGGGTCGATACCTGAGCCATAAAAACAGGCCTGCAGACATCCAACAACGCCCTTGATACCGCCCTCGCTGACGCCAAAAAGACTGCCAAGCAGGAGACTGCGGTCATTTAGCGTTAGGAATTCAGAGCAAAAGCATTGGGAGTGCAAGAAGAATCGAATCGTGTGAGTTCTCTCCCTCCCTCTCTTTCTTTTCTTCCCTTTTCTTTCTTTCTTTTTTTATCTTCTCTCTTCTTCTCTTCCCATATCCCGGTCTCCAAAATTTGATATTGCGGACGCGAAGGCCTTTGGCAGCAAGGTTGAAGCTTCCTCAGATGCTGCTCTTGATTATCTGGGTCTATGTTCTCACTCAGCTAATACAACCTGGCAGCTGCTCTCTACAGGGAAGCGACACACAGAGTAATATACCGGCAAAGCTAGCCTTTGCTTTCTTGTCCCCAAGTAACCTTAGTAAGTATACCATGCCAGGTCAACCCGTCTACTCCTATCTAATCTCCACAAACAATCATCTTCTCACATATCTTTTACTGCATTATAAGCCTTCTTCGTCTTCTTCCTCCCCGTCCCCTTCTCTGCTCTGCCTAGTCTTTCTTGCCTCTGCTCCTGTACTAATAGCTTTGATTTTACTCTACCAGGAATACTAATGTATACGCCCAACTCCTATACTGGTCGCCCTTCCGCGCGCCCTAACCACCCATGGCACCCCACCACCCAGCGCTCCATCCTGGCTGTGGCCGACTTGAATGAACAGCTTGCTGAACTTGGGCTCCATTGGCCGTCTGGGTATGCCGACCTTGAAGATGCTATCTCTAATGCTGGTACCACCGACATCCTGGCATAGAATACCGAGTTGGTACTCTAGTTCTGAGCGACTGCTATGGAGCGTAGAGCAGCCTCCAATCTCCTCGACACCTGCACTCACATCTTTGCTATAGTCCTAGATTTTATCCGCCTTCGCATCCCTCAGCCTTGTCCCCTGTAAGGGTAAGGTCTACATTCCACTCGGCAGTAGAGGATATATCCGATGTGGCTTCTAATGACCAGGACTACTTTGTTCATCCGCCGCCAAAAAGCTTCGACCGTCAACTGATTGCCCGGTGGCCCAATGCTGTGTCCGAATTTCGGCTTGACAAACACAAGATTATCTGCCTGAGACGATTCGCGTGACTCTGGGTTTCTGGCTAAGGTCGGCACAGCCTACCTGGTATCGCTAGCTGACCGCACATTGTCGTCGATGTTGACAGTCAGGAATGAGGGGAGAAGGGCCATCTAGTGTTATCTCCAGGTACCATTCCCGCACGGTCCAGGTAAGCTATAGTCATCTCACGTACCTCGGACTCCGCAGTAAATCTTTTAACAGATAATAAGCTTCGGGCTATCCTCAAGAGCCGGCTACGCGCAAGATTTATACACGACACTTGAAACAATTCTGGCGATTCATTTTTGCGAAGAAACTCGACGGTCGGTTTATTTTCTCACACCGTGACATGATCTCCAACAATAGCGGTACCTGGATCGCGAAGGCTTTACCAGTCCTCACGCACACACTTCTACGGGGGATCTTAAACAACGTCTAGCGCAAACTGTTCTTACGCCAGAACCGAGAGAGGAGTGTCCCGACCTACCTTCCCTAGCGAAGAGAGGCAACCGGGCCTCCAGTGCTATGGCAGAGGTCGAGGTTCTGGCTCTTATAGAGTTGACAAGATTCTCTAATTCGGCAAGGCAGTGTCGTGAAGAAGTCCCGGAACCATTCTGTGATTCTAGGTCGAAAAATCCGAGGCACTGATGATCCGGAGCCTTTCAGTCTCAGTTCGAAACAGTTTAGACGACGCAGGGAAAAAAACAATTTTTCGATACGTTTTGTCGAGTGCAACATTCGGTCCGATCTTTGATCATTCTACCGCCTTTTGGTTAGGCCATTGCGAGCCTGGACAGTTAGCGCACTCTCTTCCTCTCCTCTCTTCTGCCATCAACCTTCTTTCCACCCCTTACATCCTCGCCTCTGTTCTCTGTCCCCTGGTCTAACTAGGGCCTTTTCTTGATAACCCTAAGCATGTCTGTCCCCGAGCGATGAGCGATTGGCAGCATATCTTGCGCAAATGCCATTCAGCACGTATACACGGCTGTACTCTGATATCTATGACCCGCAGGTCCAAACGTGGGCACAAATTGCTAGAGCTACCAAAAGCAAGATGGCTAAGAACGATAAGAAAGCCAAGAATTATCAGCACGACAAAGAAAAAGGTGCAGGTGCATCGGACGCGACCGCTTTTGATACAGAGCACGCTGAACACGATTATCGAAACATGACTATGGAAGCAAACGACGCGGGGTCCGCGGACCAGAGATAGGGGGTTGACTGGAGACCATTCGCTTGCCGGGCCTCTGGCAGGGCTGCTGTGCCGACTGTAAATAGCCAGATAAGTCGGGACTAGGTTCCATGCCGCCGCCCTCGACCTTTCTGAGGCGAAACTTGAGGAATTGAAGGACGACGCGTTGGGTCAAGATTGCGACGAATGGCAGGTCGGTTTCGAAAACCGCATAGAAGGGCCTACCTCCACAATTGGGCCAACAAGGTCCAGGACCAGGTAAAGGGAAAGAACTCCGCCACCATCCCAGCCGCGAAGGTCTTCTCCGAACGCGTCCAAAACGCGAAAAATGTCCGCGACGCGCTTTCATGAGGGAAGAGATACGGGCAAAGTATTGACACGCCATCTTTCCGAAAGTCACCAAGTTCTAGAAAGTTGGTTGTTTGTCGAAATGACCCCGTCTTATTCAATATCGGGCGACACTATGAAAGCGCTCACAACCGATGGTTGAATCTCCATCCCCATATCATGTCTGGAGACCCGAAGTAGTGACTTGCACAGACTCTTCTGAGGCCGCAACATGGTGAGACGCGGGGATTGGAACGTGCGTCTAGCGCGATCGCTGAACGAGAGGCAATTCGCACCGGCGAATCATACAGTTCAAATATCGATCGTGAGACTATTGGCATGCTGTCTGACACTGACAGGATCAGCCGGAAACACGGATGCTTGCCATCATATGTGAAAAGCTCAATGCCGTTGTCAATGCCGCACGACGGCACTTGTTAATCGAATCGATCATCGTGGCCACGTTGTCTCCCATGCAACTGGTTCTTCAGAGATCGCAGGTCCTGGGATCCGGGTCTTTTGTAGTTAGTACTCTTGTTCTGGGAGCTCGATAAGTAGGTTTCCTCTTGGCAGACCAAGTCTTTTCGGGACTTTGTTCTAGGTCTCCCGTCGAAGGGTATACAGCACTTGGATCCCACCCTGCCGGCCCTTGCTCTTATAAAATCAGCAGGATGTTCTTCACGCCATAGAGCCAGAGACAGCTTAATTCTTATCGACCTCACCCACGCATTGATGCAAAGGGAGCTCGAAAAACTCGGCTCTTTGTTTCGATGTTTCATCTTCAGCATCATTATCATCATCATCGCCGTCATCGCCGTCATTATACAGCTGTCATGGTAATTCTTGTCCTCGTCCCCGTCATTATCGTTATAGTCGTCAAGTCTTACCCGCATTATCACCGCGGACAGTTGTATTGCCCTAAACGACACAGTCAGAAGCTTAACGTATTGGCAAGGACTATTGCTTAAACACTATGAAACAATATGTGCTTTTTATGGCTACCCATACTAAGCTTAGAATGCTTACAGCGCAAAGGGAAGAAAATACCGGATCCCGGTAGGGGCTCACTCCATCCGTGGAGTCTGGAAGCCATGCAGATTTATCATCGGGGGGGCTTCTTACGGCGAGACAACCGCCTATTACAAAAAGCACGCTGTGCCCATAGTTGTCTCCCTCACCACTGGACTGGCTGGCCGAGAAAGACCTGTCGGAATTTGGGCTATCGTCGAAATTATGATTCAGAGAGTGGCACAAGGAGCATTGCTAGCTGACGCGGTGGGGCTGGGGAAGACATGGCAAGCTGTTGGCATCATTCTTGCAGTCCCAAGAAGACCTTGGTATTAGGCTTTTACAAGTGGCCCCTAGAAGCATGTAGCATATCTCAGAAAAGAGGCCGAGTCTGGGGGTCCCGCGTGCAAACCTCAAGAACATCGGCGAGCTTCCCAATCCAGACACCAAATCTAGAGCTTGTTCGCGCACACATGGTTCATAATCCTGTGGTCTGTTGTGTAACACTATGCTGATGTCTTTAGGGCTGTACCAAGCCCCCGATGATCGTCAGTGTCTGAACCATCAAGGCAGCAAATGGGGGCAATATCGCTCACAAGTACAGTACGCAGGGGGAGCCATTGAACCCCCCTCCCCCTGCAAGTGGCCAAAATCTGGAGAGCTCTACCAGGGAGGTGAAGCCTGCGTCTCGTATCAGGAGGGCAAAGGCCATTTTCTCGAATGCGTGGCAATGTCAAACTGGGCCAATCGCGCCTGTGCGAATTGTATCGACTTTTATTGACGACAGTCCGATCCCCCCAATCAAGCCCGCAAGTAAATTCGCACGCCGCATCTTCGTTGAAGGAAAACCTTACTGAAATTTCGCCAGCGAAGATCGATGCAGTCTCTGAGCTCGTTATCAACTACTACTTCTCAAACTCCAGCATTTCCGTTACGGAAATTCAACACTGGAAAATGCTTTCTCTATCATAGTCCTTGAAAGCGAGGCTCAAAGAAGAGTTACTCCTTTGACCTCTCTATCAATGGTCAGTAGGTCCCCATGCTATGTCTTGGATTCTTTCATTCTTCTAATGCCGTGCTTGGTTCAAGGGGGTCTTCATCTCAGTGAAGCCCAGAGGCGTACGACGAAACCAAGCTACCGTTCCTCAGGAGGTATGCCTGAGATCCGAGGACAATGAGGAGCGGGTTCTATCGAGCCTCCGCTTTTACGAATTGAGGGTTCGGCTGTCAA